TGCACGTTTTAACCCTGTTTTCAATCTCAGCTGCCATGCGAGGCCAATAGAATCTTGTCCTGGCAAGATCTAAAGTGCGTTCAATGCCTAGATGTCCCATATCACCATGTAAACTTTTAAAAACAGAATCGCGGAGCTGTTCAGGTAAGACTAACTGGTACGTAACACTTTCTCCATCTTGGCGTGTACGGTATAGTATGTTATTATGCATTTCGAGTCGACTGAGCTCTCTGAGCAGAAGGTTGATATCTGGAAGTTCAGCTCGCACTGTCGGTGGTACTTTCTCTCCAGTCTCGATTTGTGCTATAACCTCTCTAAGCAAAGGATCAGTGCGTTGTTCATGCATGATCTTTTCTGGAGACAGGTGTCGTGCCACAGGTAACCCTCCACAGTCTGTCTCATTGACAAAGTCATCTGGAATGGCAGCTGCTGACATAGCCATTGAGTGAACCAAGGGAATGGTAACACTGTGAGAGTTACAGGAGAGATGTTTCTCACAAATGGCTGACACTACTTCAGGACTTATACTACTTTCAGACTTGGACAGATGGGTTTGTGTAAACTGCTGTATGCGATCGAGTTCTTTCTGAGACACGGCATCATTGAGTAGATCACCATGTGGTCGCCTGGAGAGACCATCGGCATCAGAGTTTAGCTTACCTGCTCTATACTGGAGTTTAAAGTCAAAAGTAGACAGAGCAGCTAGCCACCTGTAACTCATGGCATCCATCTTGGCAGTGGTCAAGATGTAAGTCAGTGGGTTACTGTCGGTCATGACCGTAAACTTGTTCCCATATAAGTAATCAGCAAATTTCTCCGTAACTGACCACTTTAGAGCTAAAAACTCTAGTTTATGGGCGGGGTAACGGGACTCACTTTTTGGATAAGCCTCTGCTCGCATATGCAATGACCCTTGGCTGTCCATCCTGCTCTTGATACAACGCTGCGCCAAGTCCAGTTGTGCTGGCGTCCGTATGAAGGGTATAAGGCAGTTTGGGATCAGCAAAAGCCAGGACTGGTGCACTACTGAGCTTTTCGATGATGGCGTTAAATGCAAGATCGCAAGAAGGAGTCCACCTATCATTGAAAGGTGTCTTCGGGTCATGATACTGATGTTGCTTGTCTTTATGTTTTGGGCTTTTGTGCAAAGGAGGGTATCCGGAAGTTAAGTCAGTTAATGGCTTAACTATGCTTGAATAGTTTTTTATGAAGCGCCTATAGTACCCAGAAAAACCAAGAAATGAACGTAGTTGCTTGAGGTCACAAGGAACAGGCCAAGTACGTAGGGCTTCTACCTTCTCAGGATCGGTCTCCACTCCTCTGCTAGACACAATATGACCAAGATATTTCACCGAAGTCTGGAAAAACTTGCATTTATCAATGGACAATTTAAGTCCATATTCTTTTAAGCGGTTGAGGACTTTCAGTAATCGAGCTTCATGTTCTTCAAGTGTTTTAGAAAACACGATGATGTCATCAAGAAACACAATCACTTCATGGAGATTCATGTCACCCATGCATTTCTCCATGAGTCGTTGAAAGGTGATAGGAGCATTAGTAATTCCCTGAGGCATCCTATTGAATTCCCAGAAACCCATGGGGCATACAAATGCTGTCTTGGGTTTGTCTTGCTCGGCTACTTCAATTTGGTAATACCCGGATTTTAGGTCGAGCACTGAAAACCACTTGGAACCATTCAGAGCAGAGAAAGTTTCTACCAGATTTGGAAGGGCGTAAGCATCTTTCACTGTCTGATTGTTAAGTTTTCGGTAGTCTATACAAAGCCAAACGTCTCCATTTTTCTTACGTACAACTACGATAGGTGAAGAAAAAGGCGAGGTTGGTTCTCGGATCACACCTGCTTGTTGAAGTTCTTTGAGATGCTTACGAACAGCTTCTAGGTCATTTGGGTGTATAGGACGAGCTCTGTGTTTGAAAGGCGTTTCATCTGAAAGTTTGATGGTGTGTTCTACCTGATTGGTTCTTCCGAGGTCCAAGTAATTTTGAGCAAAAACTTCGGGCAGCTGATTTAGTTTTGCTGTTATATGCTCCTTCCATTCAGCGCTAATTGGAGAAGACTCAAAATTGAACGACAGCTTAACTTCAGTTTCAGTTTTGGATCTGGTGGGTACCGCGGATTGTGCTTGAGAAAGGACATTTTGGAATGCACTAACCTCTCCGATAACACACTTCTGAGGGATTGTCACGTCATGGTGAGACTCGTTTGTAAGCACGACAGGAACAAGGTAAGGTGCTCTTTCAGGTAAGTCTATTAAACAAGGTTTAACAAGTATACCACCAGGTAAGGCTGACATTGATGGGTACTCCAATAGGACAGACTTCTCACTGTTATTGGCCGAAATTGCCACAGTGCCATCGACCACTACAGTTTTACCTGCAGGGACCATCTGTGGCTCTCTGTTATGCATTGTCACTAAACCAAGGTTACGGTTTTGTGACTGTCTGTGTCGTAACTCAAGAGCGTTCCAACACTGCCCTGTAACCAGGTAGCATTGTTGGTGGCAGTTCAGAAAAGGCATCACGGTGTAGCTCATATACCACGTCCAACGTGTTTGTGCCTATAAGAACTAGGGACTGAGCAGCTGCACGTACATCAGGGACAACTAAACCGAGTGTCGGCACTTCGGCTTCGAGGCCCAGGAAATCTTTTGGGAAAGTGATATGCATCTCAACGTATCCTAGGTAAGGTACACGTTGGCCATTGGCTCCTTCGACTTCTAGCAAGTCGTGAAGTGACTTAATTGGGTAATTCGACAGATGCTGTCGGTAGTAAGATTCAGGGACAGTAGTCACCTGGGACCCAGTGTCTAACAGACAGTTAACTGTATGACCGTTAACTCTAAGTTCAGCTGTACTTTTTGTGCCAATCAGCCCACAGGGAAGGCTGAAAGAGTCTGTTCTTAAATGTGACTTCATTTTGGCACATTTTTTTGATGGAGTATTTCGTTTTGGTTTGATTGGACCTGTGAATTCTGGATCAGCCTCTGTTTGTCCCACAACAGGGGCAGATTCTAGTTTAAAGGAGGTGGGTCATTCTGACTGTCCCATATCTGTCTTCTAGCTTTCAGTTCTTTTCGTTTTGCTTCTACCAAAGCTGCATTTGGCTCTGACTCACAGGTCGCTACAATATGTCCGTCCTCCCCACATCTGAAGCAGTACCATGGCTTGGGTCTGGTACATTGGCGGCTTGTTGAGGGAAAATATTCGGGTTTAACATGGTCAGGTTTTTTAATTTCAGGACCTTTTGTCTTTTTTGGGGTTGCTGACTTCTTTTGCTTCATAACTGCGGTTAATTGGCTCTTCAGATCAGCAACTTGCTTTTTCAGCTCTCTTAGGCAGCTTGACTCTGCTGCTACGCTTACAGGTGCTGGCCAGTAAATTAGAATATCATCAAAAGGTTGAAAATATTTCAGTAATTCCATTCAAAACGTGAAACTTGTACATTATATTCATGCAATGCACACAGACCAATGTATTTCCGATGTTTATTACGTTTAATTTTGATATTTATAGGTGACAACCAATGAAAACATCAAATCTGGTATCTCAGAAAATTAGAATATTCTAAAGGCCAATGAAAAAATGTTTGTTTCTCTAATGTTGGCCAACTGAAAAGAATGAACATGAAAAGAATGTGCATGTATAGCACTCAATACTTAGTCGGGGCTCCTTTTGCCTCAATAACTGCAGTAATGCGGTGTGGCATGGACTCGATCAGTCTGTGGCACTGCTCAGGTGTTATGAGAGCCCAGGTTGCTCTGATAGTCGTCTTCAGCTCCTCTGCATTGTTGGGTCTAGCGTATTGCATCCTCCGCTTCACAATACCCCATAGATTTTCTATGGGGTTAAGGTCAGGCGAGTTTGCTGGCCAATCAAGGACAGGGATACCATGGTCCTTGAACCAGGTGCTGGTGGTTTTGGCACTGTGTGCAGGTGCCAAGTCCTGTTGAAAGGTGAAGTCTGCATCCCCATAAAGTTGGTCAGCAGCAGGAAGCATGAAGTGCTCTAAAACTTCCTGGTAGACGGCTGCATTGACCCTGGACCTCAGGAAACAGAGTGGGCCAACACCGGCAGATGACATGGCACCCCACACCATCACTGACGGTGGAAACTTTACACTGGACCTCATGCAACGTGGATTCTGTGCTTCTCCGCTCTTCCTCCAGACTCTGGGTCCTTGATTTCCAAAGGAAATGCAGAACTTGCTTTCATCAGAAAACATAACTTTGGACCACTCAGCATCAGTCCAGTCCTTTTTGTCCTTGGCCCAGGCGAGACGCTTCTTGCGCTGTTTCTTGTTCAAGAGTGGCTTGACACACGGAATGCGACACCTGAATCCCATGTCTTTCATGAGTCTCCTCGTGGTGGTTCTTGAAGCGCTGACTCCAGCTGCAGTCCACTCTTTGTGGATCTCCCCCACATTTTTGAATGGGTTTGTCGTCACAATTCTCTGCAGGGTGCGGTTATCCCTAGAGCTTGTACACTTTTTTCTACCACATTTTTCCGTCCCTTCGCCTGTCTGTTAATGTGCTTGGACACAGAGCTCTGCGAACAGCCAGCTTCTTTAGCAATCACCTTTTGTGTCTTGCCCTCCTTGTGCAAGGTGTCAATGATTGTCTTTTGGACAGCTGTTAAGTCAGAAGTCTTCCCCATGATTGTGGTGCCTTCAAAACAAGACTGAGGGACCTTTTAAAGGCCTTTGCAGGTGTTTTGAGTAAATCAGCTGATTAGAGTGGCAGCAGGTGTCTTCTATATTCAGCCTTTTCAGAATATTCTAATTTTTTGAGATACCAAATTTGGAGTTTTCATTAGTTGTCACTTATGAATATCAAATTTAAATGTAATGAACATTGGAAATACATTGGTCTGTGTGCATTGCATGAATATAATGTACAAGTTTCACGTTTTGAATGGAATTACTGAAATATTTTCAACCTTTTGATGATATTCTAATTTACTGGCCAGCACCTGTATATCTGCGTCGATGACGGTCTGTTCATGGGAAACTGCTTTTGGTTTTGTGGTACTAAAGTGTCTCTTCATTCGTGAGCTTTTAACCTCTTGTCTGTTTTCTGCCGTGCGAAGAAAAAGCAATAACTCTGCAGGTAGGGGGATCTTTATTTTTCAGTTCTAGCTGCAGTTCTGTTAATAGGGTTTCATCCCAACAACCCCTGTTAAACTGTTTTAGAAGCTGTTTGTTCACTTCCTGGGGCTCAAGACCACCTCTTCGTACTGCGAGATTAAGTGCCACTTGCAGACGGTGGAGATATGTGGATGGTTTTTCTCCATGATCTTGGAGTGTATTCATGAACCGGACAAGTAATTCCTCACCATCTTCAACACCGCCGAAAGCTGAGTCCAAAAGCTCAATGTAGTCAGCCGGCGTGGCTTCTGGTCCGAGAGGGCGGATTACATCAGACGCAGGAGAGAGAAGGCTTTCAAGTATTTTACGTGTCTTGTCTAGCTGAGACAGAGAAGAATCGTCAATCATTAGACTAACATGAGAACGCCACGTTTCATAATCTGCCTCACTGTAGGGTCTAGGAGTTTTGCCAGAAAAAGCTCGTATTCTTAAAGCTGCATGAGTAGAGGAAATTTTTTCCACATTTTTCACCACATGTTCAACTACAATTTTCTGAATCTCTGGGGGATTAATATCTGTTGCAGTAAATGTTGGTGGGATAATGTGTGGTTTAGGAGGGCTTTGTAAGGTTGTCTTCATAGGTTTAGGTGAACTAAACACTCTAGTTTGGTGTAAAGGTGAAACTCCACTCTGACTGGGTTCAGCCACTATGTTGGGTTCAGCCATTACATTAATTTGATCTAAGGTCCTATTTTCAAGATCAGTTTCTGTTGTCAATGTGGACTCAATAGATTTTCCTATGGTGGACATAACTTCTTTCAAGACTTCTTCAAAGTCTTTTCCACTCAGCTTAGCTAAGCCTTTCAGATCGTTGAGGTAAGTTTCAGTAAACCTGCCTCCTATGGTTCTAGTGTACACGTCGTTTAGAGCTTTTATGTGATACCTGACTCGTGGATCATCCGTGGACAAGAGGTACGGCAATTCCGGTGCTAACGATTTATCGGCGAAACCAGACTCAAATTCCACGACTTGACTTCCGTAAAGTTCAGATGAGCTATCATTAATGGTGAGTGTTCTGTAAATAGAGCCATGTTGTTCCAGAAATTCGTAAACTTCTTTGTCTCTTTCCGTACCGGTAACACCACTAACAACTACAGCATTTGGTACTTTAACACCATTCTCCTCAACAAACTCCATACTGACTATGGGTGAAAATTATTCAAAAATATTTAATGTTGTCTCACAACCTTATGCTCCTGGCTGGCTCTGCCAGCTTATGTAACCTCACGTAGATTTTACTAGAGGTGGTTCACATGAAAATCTTTGTGGTTTAACACCGAGTGGACCAGATCAAAAGATTCTAGACTCTGAGGAGCAAGTGGTGGAGTGACAACATGGACCAAGCAAGGTATATAAAACAATGGTTTATTACCAGCATTTATAACCCACTTAATATATAACAAAGCGCTTTGTGAAATAAAATAAAATGAAATAAAATTAAATAGTAAAATGAAATGTCACCAGTCTGTGTTTGTTCAGTCAGTCAGTCAGCTTGGCAAATGTTCATGAAATCCTTGTCAGTCAGATCTTGGGTTGAAGTCGAGTTCAGGTGAGTGACAGACCAGTTAATCACCGGCTTGATGGTTTGGTTGGGCTGGGGCTCGCCATCCAGAACTGGAACAAGAATCTTCAATTCACCGAGGTGAATCAATCCAAAATAAAAAACCTGACCTAGAGAAGGTCAGAATACAATATTTTAATGCTGAACTGTGGTTTACAATCTGCATTAGTCCCATGAAATCAATTCCTTTACAATTAAATCACACGTTGTACAACAATTAATTCAGTTCAAGTAGGTACCATAAGATAATGAAGTCACTAAATTACCAATATATCAGTTGAAATGAGTTTCCAACAAGAAATTCTGTAATAAGCTTCAACTTCTTTTCATATCACAATTTTATAAACTGAGCAATAGTGTTTTAATTGGTCATTTAAAACACTCATCACCTCCACATCTATAACCATCTTTCCAGTTAAGGTAAAACTGCAGGAACTAATATTTAAGTGCCAAGTTAGTTCTAACGGCTGTCGAAGGTTAGCAACGGGGCTAATATAGCTTAGCATGAAATAACACACATACACACTAAGACTCACCAAGAAAAGTCAGCTTGGTTTACACGGGGTTTCCCAAGGGTAACGGCAAATCACGGTCTTCGGACCTCTGTATCTCTACAGCGTAACAAATAACTTGTCACTATTACACAGCAACAGTACCTAAACATGAAAATTTTATCCGCTTACCGAACTTGGAGTAATTGTTTTTCAAGTAACGGCTGCTAGTGCATCCTAGTTTGCTCTTCACGGCAAGTGCTTCCTCGTCAGCGTCTCAGCGCGTCTGAAGGCAAGTGAAAGCTGCGTAGCGAGCAGCAGAAAGTGCTAAATTCTATTGGCTGATGCAATAGCTGGCTAGCCACGTGATTGGTTAGTCAGTTGCTACCTGAATTTTACTGGAACTTTCTATTTACTCGATTTTAGCTTTTCTTATTTGACTATTTTCAAGAAGTTTGTATTTTCTTTTCTTTTTATTTTTATTTTTAACTATGAATGTATGAATGCTTAGATTTCTATTTATCTTATTTGGTCTTTTATCCTGTTTTAACTGTTTTGTAAATTTCCATTTATATTTCATTATTCATTCTAATTATGTAATGATGTTTCTATTGTAATCTGGGTTTTACACCGGGTTACATACAGGCTTTTGGATGTTGCATCATTTATAGCTAGAGGCCTTTTTAAACTCAAAACAATAACAAACAAATATACATTAGCAAGGGTTGCATCCTTTTTTCATAATGCTGTTGAGCGATCAGCGTGGATTTATGACATTGTTCTGTTGCTACTGCAGCTTTATTCCCACCATCGAGGACTGATCCAACTCTTTTAGTGTAACTAAAATTTGAGTCAGGATTCCCTTCCAGCAGTTTCTGGCTGGTGCTGGCACCCTTCTTCCTGCTTCCACCCGTCTCCACCCTGTGTTTATCTATTGATTTCTCTCCCTCTCTTTTATAGTTGGTTGCTGTGTTTTATTGCTAGTAACTAAAGTGAAATCTGGCTGTGTAAAAATGGCCAAAACACAGCTTACGTCTTCTTGTCTTCCCATAGAAAATGTGGCCAGAGGCCTCCCTCCAACATGCTGGAGGTGGTGTCATCCAGCAACATCATGCTGATTTCTTTCATTGCTGACTCCAGTGTCCAGAAGCCAGGGTTTCATGCCGTGTATAGAGCCATCCCTTTGACCTCAGGTGAATTATCCATTCCTGGCGTCACTTCATCCATTTTTAGTCAGCACTCTGTAGCGGTGCTCTGGTTAACTGGTTTTCTTTTCGCTGTGTTCAAGGTGATAATCTTTATGCATAAATAATCTGTTTTAGTGAAAGAATGTGGTGGTGACCTGTTTAAGACTGAAGGAAACTTCACGTCGCCGCTTTACCCCAGCTTCTATCCACCTGCTGTGTGCTGCAAGTGGACCATCCAGGTTTGTGACACTTCTCTTGCTTCCTCTCTTCTCTGATTTAGCCCCTCCACCCCGTCTCCACCATCCTTAGCCTGCCATGAGAGGGATGCTGATACAGCACTATCGAAGCCAAGCTGTTCAGTACCTCTTGTATCTTCATCTGTCAGACTGCTGCTTCTGCTGCAGCTCAGCTCAGGCTGCGGTGTTCTGTGTGTTCAGGATGTTTGTGTGTAATATGCATGCAGGTGGAGCCGCCTGCACTCGTGCACTCGCAACAGCTGTTGTTGTACTGCAGCGTGCACGTGTGTGTGTATGCTTGATGAATAAAGTTGTAATGAATCTATCAGCAAGTCTTTTGTGCTGTAGGTCCCTGCTGGGAAAGAGGTCCGGGTGAAGTTCAACATATTCCGCATGAAGGAGCCAGGGGTGGACACCCGCAGGTGTCACAAAGACTACGTGGAGATCACGGGAAACAAGTAAGACTTCATCATCTCCATCAGCCAGCAGGTGAAAGGCAGGCGAGGATGTTTTTGCTGTTATGTGATTGCTAGCTACTGCACCACTGGACTGATTTAAATGAAACTCCCAGAAATGAATCAGTTTTTACATTTATATCAGAGGGGCTGTGGGAGTCAGTGTGATGACTTCAACAAATAAAAGTAGAAAAACACAAGCCTACCTTTCAGATGGAGCTAAAATTCTTCAATATTGATTATTTTTAGCATGTGATGCAAATGACCACAACTTATTCTCGACATTAAAGGTGGAATATGGAACAATTTTATAAAAAGCTAAATTTTATAAAAAAAAAATAATACCTTCGTGACATGTTTAGCGGTTTGCATGAAGGTACAGTATTTCCTTTAAAAGCTATACTTTAATAAAAAATAATCAAATATTTATTTAGACAAGCACAACACTGGGTTTATGTTTACCAGCCAATAGAGGGCACCATTGCTGGTTGCCAATAAGTCCGCTCAGCACAGCGAGGCTGGCTCTGTGGAAAATGGCGGACTCGGCACGTCAAGCAGCTGCTTCTGAGCTCCGAAGATGTCGTTACCCTTCTCAGAAAAGGAGCGACCAGAAAAGATCTAAAACCAGAGCAACTTCAAATGAAGCCTGCAGCAGATGGGCCCAAATACAACGTTCAGGAATCTGCAGCGAACCTGGACTCCCCACGGCTGGAACGCTGGTTCTGTTGTTGCAACTACAACCTCCACACACTAGATGCTGCTCTGGTGTTCGTGTTCATATTCCACCTTTAAATAAAACATTGGACTTTTAAAAGAAATCAAAATGTTACAAGTCATTTTGCCTTCATCCAAACTGCATCACTTGATTTCACACGTAACGAAAGAAGTCGGCTAAAACGGCAACATTAGAACAATTCCTCAAAGCTTCAGGAATAAATCTGCATTCTCCACTTGAAAGACGGGGAGGAGGCGTTGGGTTCGGGTGTCCAGAGCTCCATTTTCTCTGGCAACAAACCTGAACTACTTCCTGTTTGGATTCTGTGCCGCTTACGACGGTGTTTGGATGAACACTGAAATACTCATTAGTGCTTTATAGGGCACTCATTGAAATGCTTAGAACTTTACTATTTCAATGCCAGGGAGTTGTGGCATGCAACTAAAGTTTTCTTTTGCTACATTTTTCAGAAATGTTTATTTTCTTACAAAAAATTACAGAAAGCAAAGTGATCATATATGGATGCTGGCCCTGTTCTGGTATAAGAAATCCCAAAAGTAAAATAAACATGCACTTAGAATAAAACAGGACACTTTAGAAAGGTCTGGCACATTTTAGAATATGATGTCAAGGTGAAGCAATACAGAACATTTTACAGTTATCCTAAAATATAGTTTATTTTCACAAAGACTGATTACTCTAGAATAATTTTGAAGGTTATGAACAGTAGAAACCATTTCAGTTCAAATATAGAATACTAGAATATGGTAGAATGGTAATGATGGAAGATCTGCTTCAATAACAACTTCCTCCTCTGCATCATCATCATCATCATCCTCATCACTAATGGCAAGGTTTGCTGCCATAACAACTGTCTCTCTGTTTTCCATAGAAGTATTGGTATATAATAATAATAATGATAATAATAATAATAATAAAATAAAAAATAAAAAATTATATAAGCAATAATAATAATAATAATAATAATAATAATAATAATAATAAAATGTATATCAATGATAATAAGAATATAAATGCTAATAATGATGATAATAATAATAAAAAGTAATAATAAAATTTGTACCGTCATTTTGTGTAAAAAATAAATAAATATATATATATATATATATATATGTATGTGTGTGTGTGTGTGTGTGTGTGTGTGTGTGTGTGTGTGTGTGGGTGTGGGTGTGGGTGTGTGTGTGGGTGTGGGGGTGGGTGTGTGTGGGTGTGTGTGTGGGTGTGTGTGTGGGTGTGTGTGTGGGTGTGTGTGTGGGTGTGTGTGTGTGGGTGTGTGTGTGTGGGTGTGTGTGTAGGTGTGTGTGTAGGTGTGTGTGTAGGTGTGTGTGTGTGTGTGTGTGTAGGTGTGTGTAGGTGTGTGTAGGTGTGTGTAGGTGTGTAGGTGTGTAGGTGTGTAGGTAGGTAGGTGTGTAGGTAGGTAGGTGTGTAGGTAGGTAGGTACGTACGTCATTTTCATTACTAGTTCAGGGCGTATGATCAAATGTGGCAGCTTTGACTTTCATGCTATGATTTCACCAACTTCATTGACTTAAACGTTTATTTCGTAGTGAGCTAAGTCATGTGACAGTTTCACAAACCTACCTTCTTTAGCTTTAGAGATCTGACGAAGGCAGTTTTCCGGTTCTGCAGACACACCCTGATCAGTTGAGCGTGAACTGTGACCAGCGTGATCTCTGGTGCTCTGGTGAAATCCTGTGCTTCTGAGAGTTTGTGAAAGACGCACTGACATCATTTCTGATGCCAGGAAGTGTCCAAATATAGACACTGGCCCTGCAGAGTTTATCAATGATCGTAACAAACACCGGTTATGTTTTTCCCTCTACTTCTACACCTTCCCAGTCTGACTACACTAGTAAACTTCAGCTTGTTTTAGACCTTGTTCTTGTGTGCCAGGTATTGTGGAGAAATCCCTAACTTGGCCCTGACCAGTGACTCTAACATCATGGAGGTCAACTTTTGCTCTGATATGTCCTACACGGACAAAGGCTTCAGCGCCGAGTACAGCGCCTACGATCCCCTAAACCGTGAGTTCCCTCCCGTTTCTCTCTTGTTTCATCCAAATAGATTATTAATGACAATAATTAAATAAAATACATAGAATAATTAATACCATTACAACCTTTTCTTCCATATTTTTTCTGTGAGTAGCTTGCCCTGACAAGTTTCCCTGCAACACGGGCATCTGCATCCCTTTATCACAGAAATGTGACGGCTGGAATGACTGCGGCGACATGAGCGACGAGACGAACTGCAGTAAGTGGGCGCAATCAAACTCACCCCCGTCTCCTCCTCTCATTTCCTTAAAGGGATAGGTTGGCTTTCTTATTTATTTTGTACTAGTTAGATGAGGAGATTGATGTCATATGTCTGCTAATGGCTGCCAGAGGTTGGTTAGCTTAGCTCAGCAAAATGAGTGGAAGCTGAGGGGAAACACTTAGCCCGCATCTGTCCCGAGATAACAAAATCGGAGGAGCATAAAAATGACAAGCTGTGGTTTTTATGCCAGAGATCGTAATCTTATCTTCTCTCCAGTAAGAGCTTGCTAGATTCAAGGAAATCATTCAGTGCTAATGGCTAAGAAATGGTGAAAAACTTACTAAAACTTGTCATTTTAAGCTTTTTTTTACACACTTTCGATTAACTATGAAGATTTTATGTAGTGGAAACTAGTTGCATGACAGTTTCTGTTATCATCAAGCAAAGCTGCCGTTTCCAGTTTTCTTCATAAAATGCTGATGTTTAGCAAAAACACAAAAAATATTCAGTGATGCAGCCAGTCCCATGATTAATGTCGCAAATCACACGTTTGCACATAATGTTGAGCTGACCCGTTTCTTTCAGAATGTGAAAAGGACCAGTTTGCTTGTGCTAATGGTTTGTGCAAACCGTACCTCTGGGTGTGCGATCGCAACAACGACTGTGGAGATGGGAGCGACGAGAAAAAATGCAGTGAGTGTTTTCATCGAGTAAAGAAGTAGTTTGATGTCTTTTTCTGTTGCAAGGTTATAAACATACAACTTAGCGGTGGGAGATTTGAGCGTCCTCGGTGTGGAGGAACAGATTAGCTGCTTTCACTTGATTGACTAGCCGTTAGCTAGCTGTTGTTATCTTAGGAAACGCTCAGCATCAAGTTTTTCCCGATAAAGCTCGTAATGTTAATCCTACGGGTGTGTGACGGTTTATCAAACAGCTGTTCCACACTTCTTTGTGATTAAAGTTAGTAAGAGTGGAGTTTGGGTCTTGCAGTCAAAACTGGGTGTCAAAACAAAGGGTGCCATCTAGTTTTAACACCAAGATTAGTCACTGAAGCACTCAGCTGGCTATTAAATGACCCACAGTCAAAGTAAAGTAAAGGATGCTGCTTCCGTTAAGCTTGTCAACGGCACCGCTATTGCCCCGTTAAAAAGTAAAAAGATGCATAGTGGCAGAGATGACGACGATGACGAGAATATGGCGACGGCATGAAGAGCTGGAGGAGAACGAAGGACAAATTTGTCCGTGTTATAAAGTCTCTGAAATATAGAAAGACATCAGTAAATACACCATCGTGGGCCAGATGCACGAGTGTAATGGTGATGTCACAGAAAAGCACTAATCTCTTTTGTTCTGGAATTGCTTGGCACCTCTCTCCGTCGACGCGGGTGCATCTCTGAAGGATGAATCAGGCGTTGGCGGTCTATTTTGCTGCACCTATTTGGACGTGTAAGAGTTGGGGAAACACAGATGTATTAAATGGGGCTGCATTCCACTTTTGCTTCTTTGCATGGTCGTTTTTCAGTAAAAATGCTGATGAGTAGTCTTTCTCCGTAATGGAATGCAGCCCTCATCAGTTCACCTGTTTTCTACCGTTGAGTTGGTGTGAAACCCTGGTGTCTGTCTCTGAGTGTCGATCCAGAGGCAAGAAGAAGGAACCGATGCGATCAGCCATCGTTCAGTACTTTAATAATTACTTAACAAATGTAAACCATTGGCTGCAGGTTGTGAGCTGAACGAGTGGCGCTGTGGGAACGGAGTTTGTCTGCCTCAGGATGTTGTCTGCAACGGTAAAACTGACTGTCAAGATGGGAGCGATGAAGCCTCGTGTGAATCATGTAAGTGTCCTCCTTTATTCTCCACCAGCAGTTGTTTTTGAGCTCTTTGGAAAACCTTTTTCTGTTTTAAGAAGACATCACAGACCATTAGGTGCAGCACAGCGTGCCTGCAGGACTTAGCTCAGAGTGTTCTCTTTATTGCCCGGATTTCAGCTCCTTGTTATGTTCTCCTGCTCTCATTAGCCCCGCCCCCTCACCAGTTCCCTCTCCCAGTCACAGACGCACTCAGAGGGCACGGCTGCATTTCTTTTTGATTTTCCTTTCTGTGAATAAAGAGGGATATTAGACCTTAAACCCAATCAATATGCCCAATCAATGCAATCTGCTCCTCAATCACCGTGCATTGTGCATTCAAGTCTCACTTTGAAGGCTCTGTGATTGCGTGGTATTTTACTGGTTAAATGTGTGTTTTCACTTTGGGACCCGTCTCTGCACCCCTCCACTCCCCGTCCTTGCTGAAGCTCGAAGCATGTGCACCAACTTCAGCTTCAAGTGTGCGAACAGCGAATGTGTCAACAAGGTGAACGCCGAATGCGACCGCGTCCATGACTGCTCGGATCAATCGGACGAGGCCGGCTGCGGTGAGAACATTTATTAATATGCTTTTCCTTCTAACTCGATTCACCTGTTTTTCCTTAAATAGCCGACCATGGACCTAATCTGGTCAGTGTCATTCAAACTAGATTATAGACGCCAGGTTGAGCTGCATGTTGAAAATAAATAAATAAATAAATAAATAGGAGCCTCGGGCCTTGACTGCCTTTTTTCTCCATTCTTTGAAGGCTGCTTTCACCACGTCTGAAGTTTTTATTTTTCCAGAATTTAAGCCTCAGGGTGTGTCTGTGTTTCATTTTGTTTCTTTTTCTTATTAGTCAACATACCTGCCTGTCTTCCAAAATCTCAAAGTTGCATTCACCCAGCATCCAGGTGGCATGAGGGCTTAAAGGAAAGGCTTTTCTCGCTGAACTCTTCCTTACACAAATTCATTGTTGAAGCACAGACTGCGGCACCAGGCCTTACAAGCTGAATCGCATCGTTGGAGGGGTGAATGCTGTGGTGGGAGAGTGGCCCTGGCAGGTCAGCCTCCAGTTCAAGACAAGTGGACACACCTGTGGCGCTTCGATCATCTCTGATCGTTGGCTCCTTTCTGCTGCTCACTGCTTTGTTAACGACATCTCTCCAGAGTAAGTTACAGATCACCTAAACTCTTCTGTCTTTGGATCTGACCATGAAATAACTCTATTATCCAAACTCTGAATGAAATTCAGCCTCCCATCTTGCATTCATCAGACTGACCTGTTGGTGGTGCTCTAAACACACCGTTGGGCCAGAGCTGCTTTAATCATGATGAGGATCATTCGCAGATTCAGAGTCTGACTTTTTCTCAAACTGTTTCCTTTCGAATCATTCATTAATCAGATTAACTAACATCCTTGCATGATTTAGTTATTTTTCTGTATTGTGTAAAGCTACTATCTCATGATGTCATCGTCGGGCGCTTTGTTTTAAATCAGTCTTTGTGTTGCTCTCATTAAATGTAGGTTTTCTTCTGTATCGTGTTGAATTAACCACATCTTTTCCCATCCTGGTTCTTGCATGAAAAATAAAAACAGCACGTGGTTCTGCTGTTTTGCAGCTACCGGGTTCCAGACAACTGGGTCACCTACAGTGGCTTGCAGTACCAGTTCAAGATGGCAGACGCACAGATGCGTAAACTGACGTCGGTCATCCCCCACCCAGCTTACAACTCGATGACCAGCGACTACGACATCTCGCTGCTGAAGCTCAGCGAGCCGCTGGTGTTTAGCAACACCATCCAACCAATCTGCCTACCAGCGTCCTCACACATCTTCCCAGCAGGCATGTCGTGCTGGGTTACAGGCTGGGGGGCGCAACGGGAAGGAGGTACTGAGCACGAGTCTTCAGTAGGATTGTAGTTATTTCATGAGCACTGGTCCCCTGCTTGTTCTGCATGTTCTTCTGCAAATGTTGTATCTCCTCGCTCCGCTTTCAAAAAAACTCAGTAACATACTCTATGTACACAAAACTTTACTTTTGTAGCCACAAGACCCAATGTTGCTCTCAGTTCAAGAGCTTTTTAACGGTTTATACACTGCCTGGTCCCCCCCAAAAAGTTTCCACATACTTTAATATTTCGTTGGACTGCCTTTAGCTTGATTATGGCGCACATTGACTGTGGAATAGTTTAGCTAAGTTTCTGCAACGTCATATTTCCATCCAGTGTTGCATTAAGTTTGCATTAACGAGTGAGGGAAAACTGGAGCTTGAGATCGATAGGCGGATTGGTGCTGTGTCTGCGTTGTACCGGTCTGTCGTGGTGAAGAGAGAGCTGAGTCAGAAGGCGAAGCTCTCGATTTACCGGTCGATCTACGTTCCTACCCTCACCTATGGTCATGAGCTTTGGGTAGTGACCGAAAGAACGAGATCGCAGATACAAGCAGCTGAAATGAGTTTTGTCCGCAGAGTGGCTGGGCTCTTCCCTAGAGATAGGGTGAGAAGCTCGGTCAATCGGGAGGGGCTCAGAGTAGATTTGCTGCTCCTCCACATCGAGAGGAGCCAGTTGAGGTGGCTCGGGCATCTGATCAGGATGCCTCCTGGACGCCTCCCTGGTGAGGTTTTCCGGGCATGTCCAACCGGGAGGAGACCTAAAGGTAGACCCAGGACACGGTGGAGGGACTATGTCTCTCACCTGGCCAGGGAACGCCTTTGGATTCCCCCGGAGGAGCTGGCCCAAGTAGCTGGGGAGAGGGAAGTCTGGGCCTCTCGACTTAGGCTACTGCCCCCACAACCCGACTCCAGATAAGCGGATGAAAATGGATGGATGTTGCATTAACGTTTCACCAAGATCTTGCACTGACAAGGGTCTGACTTCTTCTCCAGCACATCCTAAAGATTCTCAATGGGGTTAAGGTCTGGGCTCTGTGGTGGCCAATCCATGTGTGAAAATGTTGCGTCACTCTCCCTGAACCACTCTTTCACTATTTGAGCCCGGATCCTGTTGTTGTCATCCTGGAATATGGCCGTGCCACCAGGAAGATTGAATAACCTGGTCATTCAGGATATTCAGGTAGTCAGCTGAGCTCATTCTCGGAGCGCATTCAATTCAATTCAAAGATACTTTATTAATCCCAGAGGGAAATTAGAGTACACACAATTCTGAGATCAGACAAACATACATACACATGACAAGAATCGGTGACTGTGGTCATTCGCAACCCGAGTCGCGCTATCTTAATAGAGATCAGAGGGGTTACATGAGGATTGGGTCAGGTGGAGGGAAAAAGGCACTTACCCTCCACAGGGAGGGCAGCTTTGCTTTGCAAAAACACCTCAGACAGAAATACAACAGACTTCAGACGTCACACAACATAAGTGTCCATTAGAAAGCACAGTGACTCCTGGAAACGGTTCCACGACCTTCATCGGTCTCAAGCCCGCCCAGGCTGGGATAGGGAGACGTAGTTGTCATGGCGACGGCAAACATTCCACATTTCATCTGAGGAGCAGTTGCTTCAGCCTCACAGACTCAAGGGCACCAGATTCAGATAAGAACTTGTTTTGGGGCCAGACAGAGATAATTTCCTCTCTGTCTTAAAGTTCTGTTGGTCCTCAACCCCTCTAAATCCAATAATGGCGTAATTAATCCATCCCAATCCGTGATGATCAGTCAACTTTCTCCTTGATGGCATCAACCTTCTGTGCCAGAATCTGAATCTCAGCCAAAGTTCCAAGTTTACGACTCATCTCGACAATTATGAGTTTGTGCATTCACAGCGCGGTGTAATCCATCCCTGAGCTCCGGGATTGAGCCAATATTCCTCGACAGCTCATTAATTTTGCGGTAAGCCAGATAACCACTCAGGCTAAACAGCAAGAAACCTAACACCAACACCACGAATATCCAGACGTCTTCAGAATCCTCTACAGACAGTTGAGATAAGCAGATCAGGTTCCACTGTTTCCAGGAGTCCATGATATGCCCAGCTGGCTCTGTCCCAGAGGGGCATCCGGGAGCCCCATCTCCCATTCTCATCGTTGAAAAAATTTTGTCAGTCGCGTTGAGAGACCAACTGACCAGGTCCATTTTTAATAATTTTCAGTTTCCAGAAAAAATGCAGAAGCGCCGTACACCCAAAGGCAGACAAAGAGCCTTGGGAGGAGAGGAGGAAAAGCGCATCTGTACTCTCCAAGAGCCGATAGAAAAGAGCAACATCCTGTTGCTGAACCTAGACCTAGACCTGACCAGTGTTAGGAACGTTACACTTAAAAGTAATTGGTTATAGTTACTGATTACTTTGTCATAAAGTAACTCAGTTACTTACTTTTTTACTCTTGTAACTCAGTAACTGATTACAAAGAAAAATAACTATTTTGTTACTTTTTCATAATAGAATGCAAAAAAGGGGTCCCCTGTTGGTTTATCTTACTGATTAAATGACTACAAGGCTAAAATATAAATGACTAAATAAATTAGAACATAATAGATGTATGTCTAAGTGTTTATTATAAAATGGAAAAATTGAAATAAATGGGCACTTAACAGGAGGAACTACAAAAAGGAACATTACACCAATATAAACTATTCAAATGTCATGTGACATAAAACAAGACCCCAATCAACAAAAATGTATAATTGCAAATAGAGACACCTGTAAAGGTTCCTGAGCCTTTAAATGGTCTCTCAGTCTAGTTAAAATACTTAAATAAATGTAATTTTGCACAGTATTGAGATTTTTCCAGTTTCACATAATTGTGTGTTTCATTAATACTTATTTTCCTGGTAATCTAGTCATGGTAAAATAACTAAATAAAACTCTTCAACAACGACTCTAGAACAGGCACAAATCAGATGAGGACTTTAATTTGCTAACTTGGGTCAGACCCAAACACAGAAGAGCTGAAGTTGGGTGATAAAGACAGCTGAAGGTCCGTTACGCCTGAGACGGTCAGCGTTCCAGCGGGACTAAAGAAATGATCAGGAACAGGTTCCACTTGGATGATCTAGGAAGAAAGAAGAGCGTGATGAGGATTTAAATAACTGGTGTGTGAGCGGTGAACTGGTAAGCAAACCATCGGGAAGTCCCGCTGTCTTGCCAAGAAGGGCACAGCTGTAGACCCACAGACCGCAGAGCAGATTCACGCCTGCAGCAGCGAATCTGCAGCCGTAGACTATTCACCACGTTTTCCTTGTTCCTCACTGGCTGGGATGCGTTTGGATGTAAACATCTGCTCCTTTAGCTCCCGATCAGCTGCTTCATCACACCTCACTGCTGAATTATAGTAACGCACTCATTTTCTTGTCAGTAACAGAAATGGTGCTGACAAAAGCAGACAGTATTTGGTACCCAAACCTTCCGTTAGCAACACCATTGTTTAAACGCCGTTTTTCCCCATCACTGGAACCGACCAACTGCTACAACCCAGATCATGGCACTACTCCTCAGGCGTGTACAGTAGGCACTAGGCATGGTGGGTGCGTCACTTCATCTGCCTCTCTTCTTACCCTGATGCGCCATCAGTCTGGAGCAGGGTCCATCTGCACTCATCAGACCACATAACCTGCTTCCATTGCTCCAGAGTCCAATCTTTGTGTTTTTTCCAGTTTGCCCCACTGATCAGTGGTTTTCCTGCAGCTACACAGCTGTTCAGTCCCACACATTGTGCATGTTCACTGATAAACCTAGCCCCGAGTTCTACTAGGTTCTACTGCTGTTTTTCTTCTGTTTGATTCCAATCGTTTAAGTGATCACCGATCACAACCATTCAGGATTTTTTCCAGCCACATTTCTTCCTCGTAGACGATGGGTCCCCACTTTCGTTCCAGTTTTGAATAATGCGCTGGACACTTCTTAACCCAGTTTAGTTGTTGTTTAGATGTTTTCTCCGCTTGGCGCATGCCAACGATCTGACCTTCCTCTAACAGACCAACATCTTTTCCACGACCACCAGAGAAGCAACTCACAGCACCAGTTGGGGGTTAACGAACTTGTTGCCAGCTGAACGATAATCGCACATGCAGTAATTATCCAGTAGGAGGCTTGTATTTGCTTAGTTAAATCGGGTGGCAGCGTGTTTCTGGGCCGGGCGGTGTACTGGTTAGCGCGTCCCTCTGCTTGATCTCAGAACGCAGTCGTTTTAGGCATCTTCTCAGGCTCTAGCAGAGACCGTCAATAAACCCAATCTGCTGTTGGGCTTCTTGGTAACTAACACAATCTGCATAGATTCTCGTTAGTGTTTGACTGTTTATTATAACAACTCTGAATCCTAATATTGTGGTGATTTGTTCATTTGAGGCCGTTTTTTTCCTGCCTTCCACTTTCTTCCTTTAATCTCCTTTAAATCTTCTTTAGTCTTCTGCTTTAATGTCTCTCCTTATTTATCGTCTCCACGTCTATTATGACACGCTCTCCACCGCTTCATCTCGCCTTCCTTTTCTCTTATCTTGTTCTAATCTGTCTTGTTCACTTAAGCTTGCTTCCATATTCATAAATCTGCGCAGTCGCCTGCTCTCCTGGGAACTCTCTTAAACCTTCATTAGTTCACGCTAATCTCAGCCATTAACACCTTGTATGTCAGCGATGAGCACGGAGGTCACGTGGCAGATTGCTGACCTCTTTTTGTCACCGCTCTTGCAGGAGGGGTTTCTATGGTCCTGCAGAAGGCATCAGTGAAGATAATCAATGACACCATTTGTGACTCAGTCCTAGAAGGCCAGGTCACCTCCAGGATGCTCTGTGCTGGATTCCTAGAGGGAGGAGTTGATGCTTGTCAGGTGAGATCGAGCCGTCTTCTGCAGAAAAGAAAAACGGACCCGCATGATTATAGCTCCCCCACATCTAAAGCCAACCTAATGATCGTTTTCTCTCCCTGATCGTGCTCACTAGGGAGACTCCGGAGGCCCCCTGGTGTGTTTCGAGGAAAGTGGGAAGTGGTTCCAGACTGGCGTAGTGAGCTGGGGTGAGGGCTGCGCACGTCGGAACAAGCCCGGGGTCTACACGCGTGTCACCAAAATGAGAGACTGGATCAAGCAGGAGACAGAAATTTGATGAGGAAGACATGGGGAGCAGGGAGGGTTGAAGAGAAGGGCGACATGGAAGTGCTACGATGGATGGAACATTTTGGTCGGATTCAGGAAGAGTCCCTGTGTTTAGTTTGTTTAGCTACAGGCTGAACACAGGTGAAAAATGTTCAGCACTTTATCTGGAGGAGCTCAGAAAACACACCTAAAACTAAGACTTGTCGTTTTCTGAAGGCATTTAAAACTATCCAAAGGCTGTAAATGAGACTTCATCTGTTTTTTAGTCTAAAGTTTAAATTTGGGTTCAGAATATGAACTTTTATGCAGCTTTTAAACGTGATTTTTTTATTACACATTGTCATCCCTTCCAAAGTGATTTTGTTTGCATTATCTAGAAATCCTTTTTGTTACCGAAGGGAAAGTTCCTCCTTTAAAGCAGATTTTAGCTTTAATCGTATTTTTAAATGATACCAAAAACGTGCTCAGATCTCAAGACCCAAACAAGAGGGGGAAAGGGGACATTCGGCATCCTTCACACACACTTTTTCATATTTTGGTAAAATGCATGAAAACCCAAAAACTGCCTGTAAAATGGAGCCTGCATTAATCCATCTAAAAGCCTGTGATTAGTGCTTGGATAATGGCCAACACTAAAGTATTCCAGATTTGTAATTGGCAAGCTGAAAATGCAAAAGATTGCTACAGTGGTCCTAGAATAACGAGATCAGAGGGATTCCCATCAGTATTTCTCCTTTTATTTGTATTTACGCGTGAGGCCTTGCTCGATCTGAGCGTGATTTTATAAAATATTGGATTAAAGTGATGATGATGAAGGTCCAGCTGGCTTTTGCATCTTTTTGTTTGTTTCCGCTCCAGCTCGGGGTGATGGTGTCTGGAGTTAAACTGGACCAGTAGTTTCTTCTCTTTTGGTCTCAAGCAGCTTTTATGTGACTGGATGAGTGATTTTATATCAAACTCATCCTGAATAATCGCTCAGAAATGACGAGGATTATTTATTGAAGGGTAGAAAATAAAACCAAGGAGGTTTCCTTCATTCTTTTTAAAACAAACTCGAAGAGTTAATTATTTTATGGAATCGGCTGTAATTCAGATTTTTGAGTCTTTTCCTGTTTAATCTGCTTTTTGCGTGACGTGTGTGTGATGTAATAAACATCTTCTCTCTGACTGTGTGGTTCCAGTTGCATCACCTGCTCTATCCGTCTGACGGGGCCGTGTTCTCTGACCTGTCGGGTTTAATAAACGCTCGTGTCGTGTTGGGAGACCCCGTCCCGTCCCTCTGCAGAGTTGTAATGAGCGTGTACTTCTCCTCCCTGTCGGGTGCAACATGCATACCTGGTGAACAGCAGACGAGACAATCTCATATCGTCAAATAATCCCTTCCTTTGTCACAGCTCGCTCTCTTACCCTACCAAATGGGCATGTTGACTTCAGGAGGTGGAGACGCATGCGGCGAGTTGGGCTTTGGAGGAGGGGTGGGGGTCCCACCGTCTCATCCGTCTTCATTAAACACCGAGCACCAGCGGGGAATAGGAAAATCAACACGGACAGTGGTGCTAATTTATGATTTCATCACTTTGTTTGTCGCTGTTCTCCGTGAGGCTCTGCGCATGGCTGGCAACCTTCCAGAATCCGCCAAAAAGCCACGAGTTTCTTTTCATTTGTTTTTTTTTATCGGAAATGGTTTTATTTAAATATAAATATGTGTACAAAGGTACAAGCAACAATAGCTCATTTCTAGCAAATAAAATTCTTAATACATAAGAATGAACGAACAAATGGCAATTAGTTGTGTCCCCATCCCCACCCCTCCCCCACAAAAGGAAAATAAATGGATTCAATGATTGATGAACAACTCTGACAAAAACGTCTGTGGAGCCAAATAAATCAACCAAAGTAGATACATAGAAGTATATAAAGATACTTTACAACAGAGCAGCGTACACGCTGTACTTTTAAGGCTTATAGAAAATATAAAAACAATAGACAAGCGATGTTGCTAACCTCCTCACTTGTGAGCTCTCTCGTTGGGCTGCCTGGCACTAGCTTGGATAGATCAACGAATGGCAGTACGGTCGTCCTTACTAAAACATCCAGAGAGTGGAACGCAACGGGGTCGGATGCAGAAGCCTCCAACGGTAAATGGAGATGAATATAAAAGCTGAAAAGTTGTCACAAGACACGTCGTTAGCATGCAACAGAGAGAAGGATGGGCTCAGCCATTTGTACAGACGCTGGGCGGTTCAGGGTAGTACTGCTTCTTGTAAACATTGAGACGATTTGAGTTGTAAAACTTGAGAGTGAGTGGTCCACGTTGAGAACTGCCTCGATACAAAAGCCCCACCTGACCTGCTGAGGTTGACACCATATTCAAGTTTAGCTCAAGATTGCCTACACTTCTCTCCCCGTAAATGTCCCTTTTGATTGTTCTGTCAATATCTTAATTTTACAATCAGAAAACACAGCAGGAAGCAGCACAAGAGCCGCAACAGTGTTTTTCTCTCCTTCCATTGTTTCCCCCCACAGTTGTTACCATCTTTGGAGTTTCACAGCTCTAACTTTGTCCATCTTACACAATTAACCACCCATCGTCACATGAAAACGAAGGCTAAAATACACGTTTTCTCTACATCCCCTTCTTTTATCCTCCGATGAGCACCTCCTTTTGTATCCGAAAATGCTCCAGGAATCCAGGCGGACCCTGAAGTACTCCCGTCTCCTCGTGCGGTACGGTTCCTTCAGCACTTGGTGGTCAAACGGCTAGCCTGTTGTGCAGAATAGTTTATGCTCGTCTCTGTGAAAGCTCAATCTCTTGTTGATGATGGACACAAATGTGCTTAGAATTCCTTTTGCATGCCAACAAGACACCAAATGACAGACAACAAAAGGCTGTTCGCATGTTTCCCTCATATGTCTTAGCTTGTGGAATTTTCTTCTTGAGGTCATTTTTTTTAGTGTTAAAGAAAAGGTTGGAATGCAGGTAAAAGGCCACCCCAGATCCATTGGCCACTTAAATTCATTTGATGCGAGTGAATTTTCTTCTAGTTGGCCTTTTGCACTCACAGATCATCTCTGCAGGTTTGAGATTGCCCAGTAGCTTTAGAGTAGATACCAGCATCCACCACAGCTTGGTTGGTTTTCCCCAAATAAACCAAAAATCACCACTTCCTGCAAAACATGTCCAGAGATCCTCGTGCGCGTAACTGAAGTCCGTGTTAGTCCAGCCGCACGAGTGACCAAAGTTATCTACTCACTTCTCCCGAAAGCTGCTTTTTTCATACCGAGCGTCCAATCAGACATGAGTCTGCATGCGCTGTGAGGGCCGGCCGTAGTCAGATTGCTGGGAGGACACTTGTGAGGAGGCATAAGAGAAGCGAGACGAGCTTGACACCTTGCTGGCTTGATCTGATTGGTCATACGCATCCACCTTCTCGTAGGAAGTGGGCTTGACATAGCTGGTGAAGGCACGGCCGTAGGTTGCAGGCAGGTAGGCGGAGCCACTGTAGAGGGGATCAGTGGGATATATAGTGGCTGGTTGTGCAGGCTGCTGCTGGGCTGCCTGCGGCTGCTCGTACGAGGATCTGCTAACCGTGTTGGTAGCGTAGCGATGGGAGAATTCATAAATCCGAGGCTGGGTGCCATGCTGACCGTAGACGGGGCTGGGAGAGGGCAGCTGTGATGGCGTGTAGACTGGCCGGGAGTTGGGCACATACTCTGAGAATCCACTGTTACGGATGTGGCGGTCGTCATGACCACGGACGTTGTAGTACCCGTTGGTTGGGTCCTATGAAGAAGACGAGAAGAATCTTACCTTCATGTGCAAAGGTAAAATAAAAACACACACCAGCTTACTGCTCGGTGCTTTTGGGAGCGTTTCCCGTTTTACCTTGATGTCCGATCTCTCGTCGTCCTCCTCCTCTAAGAGGTCGCTGTGTTCTGTGCGCGACGTCCCTGGAGATTCGCTGCTGTTGGGAGCCTGAGGGAAAACCAAGAGTTTCTAAAGCGTTACAAGGTTGAGCACGACCTCACTGGAGTCAGAACAAAAGAACGTCTGAGTATTCAGCTGCAACGCTAATGTAAGCCCCTCTCTCCACCTCCCTCCGCAAGATGTTTTATGCACAGATGGAAGGTAAGAAAAAAAGACTCATACCATGGGTTCTTTGACATCCTCCTCATCATCGTTGCCACGCGTGGCGTTGTGATCACTGTGAACGATCTGAACTCTGATGTCGCTCTTGGAAAGACGAGTGCACCTTTTCCCTGAGGGAATAGATTTGGGGTTTAACTGATGTCATCTCTCAGGTTTAAACATTCAAATCAGAGCAAGTAAAAACTCGTGGATGTAATTATTTGAAGAAAAATGGCTGATTCAGTTCTTGCCCATACTGACCGTTGAGCTCACCTTTGCCTGTGTGCCTGCAGCAGAGAGACACCAACGTGATGACGCAGATCAGCAGGACACAGCCTCCGCCCACTGCTCCACCAACAATCACCAGCATAGGCAGAGCCTCTGTGGGGGGAAGAGAAACAGAGACGATCATGAAAACGGAGGTGAGTGCATGATTGTCAAATCTGCAGAACAAATAAAATAAAAGGAAACGAGTAGAGCTGTTTTGCTAATCCCATGCGCGTGCCAGTGCCCACGAATTTCCAAACTGTTCTATGTCTTATCTCACATTTTGCAGCTTATGCTCATGTGGACAGTTCAGCTTCTTGCAGTATGGCTTTTGTCTGTGATCTCTTTGAAGGAAGGGTAACAAGGCTTGACACGCAATGAAGCAATAGACAGTAATCTAATTAGAGATTCCAGGAGATGGCGCTCCCCGGTCCTCTGGAGACCCCTGCTCTGATGCGTTGGTGTAAATTCCTGGCGAGGGCCTTTATTTGGTGTCTGCAGCAACTAAAGTTACTACTGGCATCAGTGAAGAAGTGTACTGCCTCCTCGTAAGGCCAGCTGAGACCGTTGCATTTTCTGACTTTGGCTCTGAGACAGTGACAGAGATTATGTTCCAAGCTGAAAACACGCGTGGGTTGCTCTAATTGATTGTTTTTTGTCCCTAATCAATATCTATGTCATGGGGCAAACATATTCATTAAAGCAGCAATCTACGGAATACATTACATTGATTAGAAGAGTATAATTAAGATAACCACAAGAAAGTGCCACAGGTAATGTAATTTTACCCAATCTAGCGCCTTGCATGGCACGGATAGACTACCGCTGTGGGCCACTTTCCATCAGACTGGCTCCAGGTCTATGTGATTCAGTTCTACGTCAGATTTTAAGATTGTAACGTCCAACAGTGGTCAGGTTAGGTACTGTTTGACCATTCAACATCTGGTCAAAAAGGAGACACAAGACTGCACGTGCTCCCTTTAAATCAGCCCGCCTTCCTCCCACCAGCTGGAGCTCAGAGCCTGCAGCTCTGACAGAGATCATGAAATCATAACAACAACATCCTCTCTTTCCAAGGTCCCTCACAGATCACCCCTTTTATCTAAGTTTCCTAGCTCACAGAAGAACAGAAGAAGGAAGATATTTAGAATTAAATATGAACTTCTAAAATTTACAAGCTAGATAATCATTAAATAAACGTTTGTTTATTGCTACTTATACTAATTATAAAATAGTGAAATGTTCATTAATCTGTGCTCAATGATATGTTTCAGCATGTTTACTTGACCAGGTCATAACATTTACACTCACACAAGAACAAAGTAAGGTAAAGTTAAAGTCCATGATACATAATTAGTCATTATTACCCCAGACCAGAGCATCCAGTATCGAAGAAGGCGTTTCTGAGATTCTTGGTAATATCCCTCAAACTTGCCAACCTCTGGTTGGCTACACAATCATAACATGAGAACATTAAAACCAGATCACCCTGGTGATTCATCAGTTCTAGAGAAGCTTCAGCCACCTGAAGCAAAACCTCTTTAACCATCAAAGCTTTTGACACGTCGTCAAAACCTTCCTGCACCTGCGAAGCTGACACAACAAAACAGTTCCTGCAGAACAAGCTGATTTGTTCAACTCCTTAAGAGTTATTCCTGAGACGCAAACTAGTTCCAACTGTCGTTACCTGGAGAAGACTCTGGACTGACCTGGTCGTACTGCATTTAATCTACGGACTTCGCTACCTGGGGGCCTCCGTCCGACCCCTCCTGACATCTCAGATCTGAAAAGGGCGTCTCCACTTGGGTACGTAGAACACAGCGAGATAGCGTCTGGATGTGGTTTTGATAACAATCAACCTCATAGCTTAACGCAAACCAGATTCTTTTACATCCAGAACTCAGCTCTCCTAGTTTCAGGAGTTTTGATTAACATCTCATTCACACATAGGGTCCATACGTCACAGTAAATGTTAGTTAACTTGTCATGTTTTGTTTGTAAAATAAATTCTTACTTTTATAAACCTGACTCTTTTCTGAATCAAAACAAAGTGTGTACATCCCCTAATGAACAAAGAATCCTAGAATCTTCTGATTAAAGCACAATAAAGACCAGGCAGGATGATATTCTATATTTAGATAGAGTATCTCAGCTTATTGGTCATAAGTAGAGGTAATATGTGTATATATATATATATATATATATATATATATATATATATATATATATATATATATAGTGAGAGTGAGAGTGAGTGAGAGAGTGAGAGTGAGTGAGAGAGAGAGATCTTAAAGAACTCAATTTACCAAACCCTACAAGATGCTGGTGTAAAGCGTGGTTGGTAAGGCCTTAAGACATGCTTGAGCATACCCTGACTGCTAAAAAGCAAAACAAAACTAACAAAAACAGAAAGTTTTGAGATTTTTTAAATCAAAAGAACATCAAACTGTCAAACTGCTGATAACAAGTTAATGATGCTTTTTTGGGTAAAACGGTCTTTTTGCTGGAGGGCTTCCGCCGGAGCATGCCAAACTGATTTGCTACCCTCAAAACTGACGGTGCCTTAAGTAGTTGTTCCAATTTTCACCGAATCACAAATGATAATAATAGTCCAGCTCTGCATAAATGTCCATGCACAAATGACACAGATGTGGCTCAGTTAACCAGCAGTGCCCTCTTCAGCCCAACCCTCAGCTGTCACTAAAATCTAAGTACCCCAGTACACATGTAGCATGCAAGAGCAACAACAAAACCTCTCAGACCTTTGGTCTTTCACGAAGATGAATCCATACCAGTGATTATTAAAACCTGTTTTTTTTTTTTTTTTTTTTTTGCTTCAACACCAAAATCACCAACAAACGTACAAACCAGCTCTGGAGTCTGGGGACCACCAATCAGGTCAAATCGTGCTGCTGCCTACTTGGTGCAAGGCAGAGCAATGAAAACACGAAGCTTCAACATCACTGAGATCAAAGCATCAGGCAGAACAAACTCATCGTCTCTCCTTGGCTGCTGTCAGTGTTGTGAATGCTTGCCAAAGCGCTGCACAGAGCCGCGTTCGCCGTTTCCATCGAATTTATGAAAGCAACTTAGTTTAAAAAAAACCCCGTCAGGTCTTTTAATAACAGCAGCTGAAGTTTATAGATTCTACTAAAACTCCTGTTTGCAGCAAGTTCATAAATATTGCTAAGAGGTTGGAAATGCTTGGAGAAGCACGCTCACAGTCTGTTGTTTGAAACTGCGTGTCCAACATGGACTCTGCAGGAATAATGAGAGAAACACGCTAATCTGTTCAGGCCAACTGCAATCCAACGACACGGAGAAACCCCAGAAGAGGCTTGAGTGTTGGAAGAGATGTTCAAGGAAACCAAATGATGAGCTGTGTGCTGTTTTGGGTTGGGGTGCCGCCTTTTGAAGACTCGTCAGCCGTTTGTGTTGATGGCTACCTTGCTCCTTCAGCGTGACCAGAGCAGTTCCAGTGCCAAAGCGGTTCCAAGCTGTGCAGTTGTAGCGCATCTGGAAATCCTGCGCCAGAGTCTCCGACAGCACCAGAGTGGACAAGACCCCGTGGTCACTGGCAACAGTCTGCACAGAGAAACGACCAGAGGAACCAGAAGACAGGCTCGTGTCCCCAAAGGTCCACACCTGTGGAGAAGAGACAAAAGTTAGTGAGGTGTGCTTTATGAGGAATTTCCATCCAGTGCCCACAGATGCTTTCTCCTCAGAATTCTGCCTGCAGGTGGATGAAAACCAGTTTCTCCTTCTGTTCTGCTTTCCCTCCGCTGACCTCTGAGGTGCTCCGCGGCCGACATGGCTCATAGGCTCATGTCATGTTTAATCTACCATCCACGTCTGCCCTGCAGGTGAGGCCTGAGGAGGGGAAGGAAGCTTCAGCGTGAATGAGGCTCCTCTCTGCTGTCTCCAGCACGGGGCCAGCTAACTCACTCCTTCTCACACCCTAATTATCCTCCTTCAGCCCAGCAAATCTTCTACAGTTCAACAGGGTCAGCTGAGCGATGCCTCTCGCGGCCGCTAATTGAATGTGGTTTGGCCGAAACCTGCAAGACACCCAGTCTCCTGCCGCTCGCCCAGCTCTGCAGTTGTTCCAGGCTGCCGGTGCAATTACAGCTGTACATTTGTGAGTGAGTATCTTTAACAAGTGAGGTTGGGGACGTGTGAAGGTGTGATGCTGAGGTCAGGTGGAAGCTCTCCTGCGTGTTTGCTTTTGTTGGGGGTGTGGATGAGAGGACCATTAGATCTTCACACATAAACATGTTTACTTCAACATAAATAAGAGGCTTACTTACAATCTTATCAGGCGGGGGGCTGCTTCCCACCCGGCACTCTAGCTTGCCCTTGGAGTGCTTGACAGCATGCTGTGCGGCTTCTGCTGTGATGATGGGTGGACCTGGGGTGAAGAAGAAAGAGAGGAAAGGAAAGTGAAGAAGAATTAATACACAGCCAGTGGAAAATCATCAAAAACAATCCTGAGCTGGATCTCTTTGAATTTATCATGTTAGTCCGTTCACCCGAGAGATGAGCTCACGGGTGGGCGGAAGAACAGTCTATTAAAATGCATGGCAGTGAAAGTCCGCGTTATCTTCTGGGTGAGAAACTTTAATCTCCAAAAACACGTTTCCAATCTATGAACGTGTGAACGGTGTTCAGGTGCTGGGGAGGGTCGTGCAGCTCTTAATTAGCTTAATGACTCCGGATGCTGGAGTCCACCTCATCCCAGAGCTCACGCATGCGTGGGACTATTGAAAGTTCTGGGAAGCAGAAATAAAAATGTTTCGATAAACAAACCTATCTTTAAAAGCAAGCTTCAGCTTTTAGATTTGTTGAAACCAAACTTCCTGGTTTTAAAATGTGAGAGGAAACAACTGGAGAGGATTTGGTGTTGTTTAAACATATTTGAACGTGGTAGTTTAGATCTTTTGAAGTGGAATTCTGGGAAAACCTAAAACTTTTTATCCGTAGTATAGCTCTTGAAAACAGCCTTGGTTAAGAGAAATGGGG